CACACTTATAGTGTTTGTACTCTGCTATACAGTACTAGGTTATAAGGCTTGGATATTTGATGAATAATTTATTCTAAAGGTTTGGTGTCCAGATCTACTTCCATTCTTGTTAAGATATTATCCCATTCAATGAATTGCTTTGATAACATGGAAACCTGTGGATGGTTGGTCAAGGAGAACATACAGAATACTTATGGATTACTTTACATGTAACTAATACTGTCTGATGATTAACAGGGTGCGACTGCATAATGGACTAATGAATGAAAGACTTGTGGGAAATGGAAAAAATCAGAGAGAAAAAACAAGAAAGAAAGGAAGAAAGAAAGAATGAAAGGAAGAAAGAAAGGAAGCAAGCAAGCAAGAAAGATAGAATACAAGGAAGGAACGAACAAAGGAACGAACAAAGGAATGAAGGAAGGAAGGAAGGAACGAATGAAGGAAGGAATGAAGAAATACATAAGAAAATAAACGGCAAGAGACAAAAAATGAGAGGGAATAAAAAACAGAAAAAAAAAATTTTGGGAAGCATTTGATCTGAACTGCTTTCCAAATCCATTGACCTCCCAAATTACTTCCTTTTCTCCATCCTCTCTGTTCACATACTAACATACCAAGAACTGAAAGGATACAATATTGTTGTAATGAGAAAGAAGCTTGTTAAGTTGTGAACTTGTATGTTCTGTTTCTTCCTATCAAACAGAAAACAAATTATTCAAACAGAATTACTGGAAGGAAAAAACAGAACAAATGTAATACAGTTGTAGGCCTCTTTACCTTAGGTATAAAGTTTTCCCTTTTCAGACAATGTGTCATTCTCTTGAGAAAAAGATTTTTTATTTGATTTTTTCCAGACTCATGTGTCTTCTTATGCACAACCATTAAACAAAGAAATGGTACTCAAGGGAATGACATGTGGTTTAAAATGGGAAAATATTATGTGCAAGCTAAAAGGGTCTATTGGGAGCCCTGTGGCGTTACTTTGGGGTACAAATGTTGGGGTTCCTGTGGTACTACATTGTTGTGACATACCTGGTGGTTGATTTGAACTTCAATCAATGGCTGCATCTTGGAAGACAAGGTAGGAAGATCTGCAAAACATTAACAACAATGACATCAAAAATAGTGCATTGTGTACTTTTCCACTTATTCATTCATTCATTTCTCTTTATTAATATTAACATGATAGCAATTAATTCCAACAACTGAAGATAAAGTATGAAAGGATGATAGTCTGGATATCACAACAAATGGGAATAAAGGTAAATGAAAAATGGCATAAATGGGAAAGGGAAAAATGAATACAATAAAATATTTAGAGGAAAATGAAATCAAAGAGATTGTTAGATAAAGCAGTGACAAATGGAAAATGGTAACTTAAAAAAACTGTACTATCAAAGAGAAAAAAGTTATGATAATAATAATAATAATAATAATAATATAATATATATAATAATAATGCCTTTCAGTGGTTCTGTGCTCACAATTTTTTTGAGGTCCTCGATTTCATGAAGCTTTTCACAGCATGATTGCAACTGGTTTTCACCTTCGATTTTATACAATATTATTGGTAAATCAAATGTTGAAAAAAAAACAATAAATGCAGGGAATGATTGCTAAGTCTCCTGAGCCAGAGGCTTGTATTCAAGCTTTACAGGGAGGAAAGAAACCAAAAAACCTTGAGAAAACCCTTAAAGCTCAGGAGAGAACCAACAAGTTACTCTACATTTACTCACATATGACATTGAGCCTACAAAGCTTTCCACTGTTGTATCACAGCGTGGGACAATCACAACAGAGCTAGGCTCCAAACTAGGTGAAAGCCCAAAGATCAAATTAGAATTTAGAAGTTGATTTTTNATAATAATAATAATAATATAATATATATAATAATAATACCTTTCAGTGGTTCTGTGCTCACAATTTTTTTGAGGTCCTCGATTTCATGAAGCTTTTCACAGCATGATTGCAACTGGTTTTCACCTTGGATTTTATACAATAGTATTGGTAAATCAAATGTTAAAAAATAATAATAAATGCAGCCAGTGTTCACTCAGTCTCCTGAATCTGAGGCTTGTATTCAAGCTTTACAGGGAGGAAACCAAAAAACCTTGAGAAAACCCTTAAAGCTCAGGAGAGAACCAACAAGTTCCTACATTTACTCACATATGACATTGAGCCTATAAAGCATATCGCTGTTGTATCACAGCGTGGGACAATCACAACAGAGCTAGGCTCCAAACTAAGTGAAAGCCCAAAGATCGAATTAGAATTTAGAAGTTGATTTTTGAGGAGGGAGGAAAACTGGAGAACCCGGAGAAAAACCCTCGAAGCACAGGAGAGAACCAACAAACAAGGACTTGAACTCTGGCCGCATTGGTGAGAGGCGGTGCATTAGCAGCGCACGCCACCGGTGCTTCCCCAAAGCCTGCCTGGAAATCAGACCTGGGTTAATTTCATTGGCGAAAAGCAGTGCATTGGTGGTGCACATCATCCGTTCTTTCGAACAAAAACCTTAGTAACATGAGAATCAAATATTCCATGTATAGTCACCTGCCATGATGATATCTGCCTTGACGTCATCACTTAATGCAACTCTCTCCAGGAACTCTGTGGATAGATAGTTCTCCAGCTCCTTTACTAAAGAAACAATTACAGCATGATTCAATTCAATAGTAATCTAAATCAGATTCCATTTTATTTGTAAACAGCTGAAGATGTTGGGATAGTAAATTGATCCATAACCTCCCCACAAGGGAAAGACTATTTTCATTTGCACACTGTATTTTTGAAGTTATTGAACCAATATAGACTAAACTTACTCTTTTTCCATGTTTCTGATATTCGATAATATTTCGTAGGCAACCGCTGTAGTTCATTTTGAACTCGTACCAGAGTATCTAAGCACTGTTGACAAGAATTATTCCAAGAGCAAATATCACACCAATTTATTGAGTAAGACAATATCATGAAGATATTTTATGGTCGTCTTAAAATCTAGAAAATTCTGACTTTGATTTAGGAAAAGTGAGCCTAGCTTACCGATTCGTTTTGAAATTTCTTCAAATCTTCTTCATTGCTTAAAACTTTTGATTCTAGCTCGTCGATTCGTCGTTCAAGGATGGTCAACACCTCTCCCTTCTCGTCCGCCATCTTGAATCGTAAACACGCGCATGCGATCTATAATACACAGCGGTATATAGCTTTGTTGTGACGTATTTTCGGGTCCAAATTGCTCACAAAAACCCGCTAAAATAAAGCAAAAAAATGATTTCAATGTCTTAACCTCCACTTGAAACAATTACAACTTTGGACAAAAACAAAAAATCTTGTTACGAAGAAAAAGTAAACAAAAGATCTTTATAGAACTGCTTTTCGTTGTGGACCCGGAAGTCGTGTTTTAATACGAGTGACGTCATACGCGGGATTACTTTAGAGCTTAGTCTCCCAGAGACTCACGTCCAAGATGGCGGATCGCAGCACAAAAGTCACGTTACGTAACAAAATAAGAATAATAAATGAAAAATGGCGGGTAAAAAAACACATAATACTATCCACTGGTTCCGTAAGGGATTGCGGCTTCATGACAATCCATCGTTTAGGGAAGCCTTTGAATCTAGTGTGAATATTCGGCCTATTTATGTCCTGGATTCGGACGATGTTCAACATGGGAATATTGGGGTCGTGAGATGGCGGTTTGTGCCAGCAGTGTTGGTAACGTTACCTTGCATATAGGGGCGCCTTGCATATAGGGGCGCCTTGCATATAGGGGCACTTTCCATAAAAGGCCATCGGTTGAATGATATATGATATGAATTGTATACTGCTGCAAACTAAAACATAGAATATATCGAATAAGGTTGTGTGAATGTAAAAGATTGAAAAAATCAAACTAAAACATGTGCGATTTACAAGAGCCTATCCGTGTTTTGAGACCGGTTTTAGCGAGAGTGTTTAGCGATCACTGCCTGAATTAAAAGCACGTTAAATCTCGCAACAATCATGTATTCGTGCAGGGGTTTATAAACATCTATTGACTACTAGTGCTGGTTGTATTACATGATTCATTTACAAGGATCTCTTTTATCAAATATAAGCCGAAAGCGCCATTACAGACATAAACTTCATAAACCAGTCACGTAAATATATCAGAGAAATGTTGAAAACCAAATTCGAAAAATTAACTTAACTGCTATGAAACAAACACCGTAGTGATCTACAGGATTAAGCGGTATCAATGTAAAAGTTTCAAGAGAAATTGATTCATTGTTGTAATCTAGGGGCGCCTACTTACGTTACCTTGCATATAGGGGCGCCTACTTACGTTACCTTGCATATAGGGGCGCCTACTAACGTTACCTTGCATATAGG